TTACACTTCAATGGAAATACTATCCATACAATATTTATATGAAGCAAATTTAACTAACTGCCATCAAATGAAGCAGCCAAATGGTGATGAAGATAAAAGAGAGTGAGATAAGATGTGATAATAGGGAACAACTTGGTAATATCTACAAGTTGTTTTAGGGGCCGTTTACCAAACGCTTACTCGGGTAAATGAACACCAAGTTTCATTATCTTCCCGGATGAATATGGTAAGTACCAAAAATTTTACCCGGTAAAAGCGAGACAAAGACCACGAGTCTTACCCGCTAAGTAAGGGATAAGACTCTTACCACGGTAAGCGCTTATCAGGTAAATTGTTGCATACGATATCGTTTCGATGAACTACCCAATAAGTAAATGATAGTGTTAAATTTATTAAAATCTTACCCAATATGTATACATGTTCCATTATCACACTGTAGTTGCATGATATCACATTGATCGACATGATGCATAGTTTCCCATTGCACAACCAAGTTGGACTGTTTATATCTTCTAATGGCCATTGACCTGATACACATCTTAGGTTACTTTTTAGGAACGAGTCTGTATCTCCCCTTCATGACTTACCCTCTAATTATGTAGTAAAGGGAATGCCATTATACTTGCGGAAGGCTATAAACAGTGGGTATATAGTAATATGCATGTGCGATGAGAATGAAATACAAGTAGGAGAAGGAAAAGCAACTCCAATAAAAAGTAGGAGAAGAAAAACATTGTAAGTTCTGTGAGTGTGATTCCACATGATAACTTATTTTTATCTAGTCTGCACCTCTTTGGCTAATGTAATCTTTTGACAGAATCAATCTCAGAACAGAGAACAAGATAATTCCAGGAACAATATTACCATTCAATCTCAGAAATTTCTTACAAAAAAATGAAATGTAATTTTAGAGCAAACCTGATTAGACGAGCAACAGGGGCGGCAACGAGGTGGTACGGTGGCGACGTGCAGAGACAGGGGCGGCGACAGGGTGGTGCGGCGGCGATGGAGACGATGGTGTGCTAAAGGGAGAAGGAGACGGGAGGGAGCGATGGTCACGGGGATATGAGTAGTCAAGAGCTTTTAGAATTTTTTAAGTTTTTTTTTTTTTAATTTAAGGTTACCTTCTATTCAGGTTACAAGTTACAATTTTAAGGAATGAGAATCTATTTAACAGGTTTTGTAAAGTCCAATGACTTATTTAACAGATTCTAAAATGTCCAAGGATTTATTTGTTCCAAAAAATTGTTCAATGACTTAATCATTCTAAACAGTAAAGTTCATTGAGTTTTTTTGGACTTTTCCCTATTTTTTATTAAAAAAAAGGGTATTTATGATTGGAAATAGTCGTGAAGCCTAGATGGACGCTTGAAGAAACCAAGAGAAATAGGCCATGTAGCGCCTAAGAAATGAGGAATGGAAAGAGATACCATGGAAAAATGAAATGTGTTTAATTAATCAAAAATTGAATCCTTGACCGTTAGTCATTTAGACTTATTGCCGGCTATAAAATAGGCCGAAGAAAAACCCTTTTAATAAATCTATAAATTTACCATTTTTCTCTTCTTAAAAAATTATTTACAGTTTTATATACTATATACAATTTTCATCAAATTGATTGATTTTATATGCCGTTAGAAGGGGGGTCAAGAATGTATATTAATGCATTTTGGTTTTGTTTGTCAAAGAAATGATCCTCTTTCTCTATAGCCATTGTCATCGGTATTATCGTTTTCTTTTTCACTAATTGTTGATCTTCTACGTATAGTACCACATATTTCAACAGAAGATTAATGCCTGAAATGAAATGATGGGAGCCACAAAAACATATCCACAAGTAGCCATCTCTTCACCATTTAATTTTTTAAATACTTCACGTTTTTATTAGTCAAAGACGTATATGTGTATCAACGCATAAATTCCTTGATCACATTATTAGAAGTCGTATATGAAATAAGCACACACCATCAGCCTTTTATAGCAGTAATATTGGTATGAGTAAACTCATTTTTTTAAATTCATGTTTGATTTTTAATTAATTCAAAAAAAAAGATCAAAGATGAAAAAAGATACGTTCAAATTATATATCCTGATTAGAACATGGAGAAGAATTATGGATTTTAAAACGTACGAAGGGGTCCACTCTCATCCTTTTGTATTTTCTCTTGATTTTAATCATTTTAAGATCTGTTATATTAATTCTTATTTTTATTTATTCAAGGCTTAAGGTTAACATCATGACATCGTTAACAGATGCCTAAATATAGATGTGTAATATCATCCTTTCTTACTTTTTCAAGATTTCCTGATTAAAATTTACTTTTTTAAGATTTATTTGTTTATTTATTACGTACGTATTCATTTGACGTGTCACACCTGATAAAAAGACAAATATTTATATTATTCATAATTTAATCTTTTAGTAATGTCAAGTTATACATATAGATAAATCTAAGCATAAGATCTAGATTTGGTCAACAAATAATTGTTTTTGATAGGTTTTTTTTTTATTTTAATCAAAGTTTTATAAGTGTGAAATGTATATGAAGGTGATTGTTGTGTATAACATTATTTTTGTGTTATCGAATTTAGGACCAAATCTTGTACTATTTAATAATATATTTGGATCCTATAATTATAATTGGACAAACTCAACAATCAACAAAGAAAAAACACAAGATGTATTTACGTAGTCTGGTGAAAACATATGAATTTGTGGGCTCAATGGGTAATACCAGCGGTGGATCTACATAAAATTAGGGTTGTAAATGATATAATTAATAGATAAGGATATAGTTAACGATATAATTCTTCTGTAACCCATAACCCCAAAACATACAGCACTTGAATCCTGCGTGATAGATCTCAAAATGATTAAAATATGGTCTTGAGCAGGCCTGGAACTGGGCCTATAGAAGGGTGTAAGGCCCATCTCTAAGGAACCAAACGCATGTCTAAGTTGGGCCAGTGGTCTCTACCAGTCTTCAACTGGGCTTGTCATTTCTGTTTATTTTTTAATTAAATTACTAATTAACCATAAAACAACATGAAAATGAAAAAGATGGATTTTCAAATAAAAGAAATTGAAACTTGATAACATAACTTTTTATTTGATAATTTACATGGACACAACTTTTAATTAAGAAAAAGGCTAAATTAATCTACTTTACTGACGGTTTAAGGATGAATATTATATATAAAAAAAGAAACTAATCGAAATTTTGTCTTTTACAAAAAACATACATAAGAACACATATATACGTGTACTATATGAATGTAAATATCTATATGTTTATACGTATCTGTATGAGGTTGGATTCCGGTGAAAATATGAGATGCATTGAAATAAAATGCACCGAATCAATCCATATATCAAGCACGATTCATGGGTGAGTTTGAGATTAAAGATGATCAAGAGTCCAGAACCCTTCTCACAGAGTCACGCTTCTTACCTTAACTCTCCTTCTTACATGATATTTCGCTTCCATATATGTAAATATAAATATAAAAATATATATATATTTCGATAATACGTGTATATTTTGGTATGTATGTATTTATAATATGAATGTATACACTATCTAATGAACAATATACATTATACATGACTATACACTATACATGAACATGATTGCATCATGTATACATCACTCACTATACATTATACATACAATTTAATATGACTTAAAAGATAAACCAACATTAAATTTCAAAACATCAGTTAATCATTCGTATCCTATGGCTTCACTGTGTATACACTATTTGTTGATCAAGATTTTATTTTTTATTCTTCTATATCACCGAAGAACGTCCAAAGAAAATTAAAAATAAAAGATCTTTATTTATTCATTGGTGATATATAACATTTACTGATGAATAAAAACTTTAAAAGACACTCAATTACCCATTGGGAGTGTATAACATTTGACATAACTTGTAAAGCATAAAGTTAATAATTAAAATTATTAACGATGGTATCCGTCGGTAAGTAGTGACAATTGTCTAGTGTTATCTTTCACTAATCAGTCAAAATTTTGATATTAATTTGAAGCTTCGGTAAGTAGTGATGATAGAGAGTAGTAAATTAAGGGTGGATCATTGTTTTATGTTTGACAGAACTTTTATATCGAACAAACAGGAACAAAATATAACAAAGTGGAACAGGGATGTTCCCAATGAAACAAGGTGTAATAGACCTATATTTTACCACTATAACCACATAATAATATTAAAAAAAAATCATTTTCTAGAATATCAAATATGTTTCCTTCTTTACTATTTTTAAAATTTTAAATTATTCATTATTTAAATTTTATTTATTGCATTTTATCCTCAAAGTATTATTTTTATGTGGTTTCTATAGTTTGGTTAATCTATGTAATCTATTAAATAATAATAATAATAATAATAATAATAATAATAATAATAATAATAATAATAATAATAATAATAATAATAATAAAGTAACATAGAAAATGTATAAAATAAATACTGGAAACTACATAAACTTCTCAATTTTGTATCATTTTAGTCGTCTTGACGAAAAATTTCTAATGAAATATTTTGTTATAAAAATATTTATTCTATTATAATTTAATAAACCATATAAATTAATCAAAATAGATAAAAGATATGAACAACTTATTATGGGTAAATTGATCATTTTATATGTTATGTCTTGTACAGTTCTGTCTTACCAAAATGTTGAATAGTTGTTCTATCATGTATTGTTTTGTCCTGCCCGTCTAGATACCAAACGCACCCTAAAGAAAAGAATATAGATAGGATTCGTTGCTCTCTGATACCATGTAAGTGGCATTAAAAACATTAATTGTTACTACAAGAAAAGTGAGCTTTGACAAATAGTCTTTAGCGAATATATGTTCACCCGCAAGTTATAGTGACGACTTATAGATAAATGGACTTTTAGTGATGACTAAATCTCTTGTTTCTTGTGACGTGTATTCTAAGAAATAAATCCAAAATGCAATAACAACATATTTTCATCCAAAAATATAAAATTACTTTAAGCGTATTGTATTTGAACGTACTATAATCTTATATCTGATGATAACATATATTTTGTTTTTCGTTACTTAATAGCTAAGCACGAAATTAAAAATTGAAGGAGAATGGAATGGTTCTAGACACATAATTTACGACCTGGAAGAGGAATCAGCTCCATTCGAATTACAACTTCACCGCATTCAACTTCTCTCAATCGAAGGGTCATGTCTTGTACAATTTTTCCATTCTCCAAAACTATGCAACTCTCATGCACTAGGTTGTTGGTCTTTTGGGGATGAACACGCTCCAGTTTCGTACCATCCGGGAGGTTCTTCAACTCCAAACCCCTTTGTAGACATTTTATATACGGTTTTACATCAATCTCTGTCACCCCCATGTTATCGTCGTTACTAAAGCTATCTTTATCATACACAGCCTGAAAACAAACAAATAAGTAACATTTTTGGAATCCTGTATATGATTAAAAGTTGCCATATATATATATATATATATAGAGGTTGGGTATTATACAACCCTTGACATTTGTGCAACCAATACAACTCAATTTCAACCGTCCATTTCATTTGATTAATATGTGATTTCATAGAAGTTTTGATTGTTTCTTAATATAAAGTATTGATCATAACTAATAAACCATATTCATCTTTCATAAATATTCAAATCATAATAAATGAACTCTCATCATTTCCATAAATATCTCAATTTATTGGGTTGCATTGGTTGTACAAATGCGATATGTTGTATTTGAAACAAACTATATATATATATATATATATATATATAGAGAGAGAGAGAGAGAGAGAGAGAGAGAGAGAGAGAGTGTGTGTATGAGGGTATGTGTGTGTGAGGTTCAAGGAAAACCAAAAAAATGAAAGACTGAAGGAACACTCTATGGTATACACATGTGCATACAAGTAATTGAAGATGTTTTCTGGTTTACAGAACGAATTACTTGCAAATTACATATATTCACATGTGCATACCATACAGATGAATAATTATTGATGTATTCCGTTTTTAATTTTTTACGATTTTCCCTTAAACCTGAGTTTCTCTATATATAATTTTAATTTGGATGTAGAATTTCAAATATGGGGTGGATACCTACAATGTTGATTGGTGTATTGGGGTCCCTCAAGGTGAGAGTCAATTCATCATCCCACTCGGGATTGCAGTTCCCTTTAACAACCCTGGTCTTCGTTTTCTGCATTAAGATACAAGTTCCTTATATGAGATTAAACATTCAAAACTAACCTACACATTTCGTAAACCTTAAAATTAATTTGTTCCTCAATCACAAACCAATTCATGATTTATAACCGTCCTAAGTTACATGTTTTTGCATTAGCTTCCTGTGTGGCTAAAAATTAGGTGTTGTATATATGTATGATGAGATGGAAATTTTATAGAACGTCTAAGTCATATTAATCAAATACGGAATATGTGAACGTGTAAGTAGATGTACCTGGCCATCCACGGTTGCAACGAGATAAGGATCGCTGCTTTTGGTATCACGAACCGCAAGATTGATCCCTCTCTTCACACGCAGCTTCAATATTCCCAATACTCCTTCCATTCGAATCTATACGGTCATATGCATAACTTTAAATAATTCAAGAATGGAAGAATTCAATTTTGTTAACTTTCTTCTTCTTTTTTCAAACTAAAAAGAGAAAAAGAGAAGAGGGGGTTGATTAGACGCAAATAAAGAGGTAGGACAAGACCTTCTCAACCCCTCAAATCTTTCTTTATTCGGTCGGTAGGTATGCGTAAGATCAATCAATCAATTTAGACCACACCCTTGAAGGAATCTCATCCGCCACTTATCACAAGAATGATTGTTTTTTTGTTATTTTAGAAAAACAATTCTAAAGACTTTGGTTTTGTTCTATAAACATTGAATGGTGGTTTGTGCTACTCATAAGTTTAAGGGTTGTTGTGTAGTGGTTGAGGTCCTGAAATATTCAATCAGCTCAAGTTTTGATTCAAGACGTACACAGTAGTTGTGGCCGTTGAATTTATCATGGTTGATTTCTTACGGTCACAATTTACGGGGATTAGTCGAGGCATAAACTGGGACACCTTTTTAAAAAAAATCAAGAGTGTATAAAATTAGTTGGTGTACGTATAAACTGGTCCGTACACTCATATTTGCCAAATGATAATATGATATATTAAGAATACTAGAAGCGTACTCGCGCAATGCAGCGAGATACATTGTGTTTTTTATTTAATTTTATTTTTTATCTCAGTCTATGTTATAATATGGCTTTAT